CTGCCCGCGGACGGAGTGCTGGCCGTGCGATCCGCGCCTCAATGCGGTGACATTGCCTCCTGAGTTCATCCATCTCTCTTTACATTTCTACAGCTTTTTATTGATTTTTTTTTAGAGAGAAAAGGAAAGGGAGAGAGAAACATCAATATCGATTGGCTGCCCCCTGCACGCCCCACACTGGGGATTGAGCTCACAACCCGGGCATGTGCCCCGACCGGGAATCGAACCCTGACCTCCTGGTTCCTAGGTCGATGCTCAGCCCCTGAGTCACACTGGCCGGGCTCACCCATCTCTCTTTGCTCTGTTGCTCTGACCTTAGTCCGAGCCACCATCACCTCCCCGCATCGCTGCAGGTCTCCAGTCCCCTCCCCACCCCCAGGCCCGTGCCCTCTGAGGCACCATGCTGCACACCCAGCACTGCACAGCCAGCACTGCACAGCCAGCACTGCACACCCCGCACTGCACACCCAGCACTGCACACCCAGCACTGCACAGCCAGCACTGCACAGCCAGCACTGCACACCCAGCATTGCACACCCCACCCTGAGGCTTGGGCCTGTCCTGAATGCGAGCCTGGCCTTGCCTCTCTCCTCTGAGTCCTTCCAGCTCACCCAATGTCCTCAGCTTGGCCAGGGGGCTCCTGCAGTCTCTGTGGCCTCGCCCCCCACACCTGCCCCATCCTTCTCACAGCCTGAGCTCCCTCCTCCGCCCCTCCCCCATCTTGCTCCTGTTCCATAGACGCGGCCCCGAGGGCTCTCTCCCGGCCTCTGCACCCGGCATGCTCCTGTGCCTGCCCGGTGAGTGAGGGGTGTTTTCTCGGGGAGGCTGGGCCAGTGCCCTCCCCGTGCCCGCCCCGGCGGCACCCCATCCTGCACAGAGTCTCGGGGCTGCTGTCCTCACGCAGACACTCCGCACCACGCCTGTCCCACAGGTAGAGCCCCTGGCCCAGCCCCGTGGACGCCGGCAAACACCCGTCAGGGATCGACGACGCGCAGACAGAAGATGATTCCCGTAAACACGACCCTCTGCCCGCTGAGCGGGAGGAAGCAGACGGAGTCGCCTGGCCCCGGCCCGGAGACGGCGCCCGGGAAGCGGGCAGCCCAGGGGCACTCGGCCACCACCTCTGTCGGGAAAC